TCTGCCCTGCATAGCTGTGACAACTGACAGCTGAATTTAAACCTAAAACAGTGTGTGCTTCTTATCACTACCACTCACTGTAACCCAGTGAGTTAGACTAAACAGATTGAGTCAGACCAATTCTATCCACATTAGTGCTATGACTTAGCTCAGTCTACCTGCTGACCCGGTGCCTCCCTGGGAGTACTTAAAGAGCTCTTTGAAGCTGATCCAAGACTGTGTCCAGCCATCTCTGGCTGTGAGAAGTTAGTATGTGAGGCTTTCTACCTGCTGTGAGGAGACATCTGCGGGCAGTCAGACAATATGTTGGGGACACTTAGTAGTGACTTCTGCTCGGGTGGTGTATGTTCAGGCAGTATAATTGTTATACTGACAGCCGGTTACTGAAAAAAGTATCGTTTCTACACAACCAACTGAATGTCTTAGCAAACGTTTACTCAAACAATGGGCAGTAAACTGATCAGCAATTTAAGCCAGCCTTTATTTAAACATGGCATCTCATATTCTCATACCACCATAAGCTACAAAGGATAAGTAAAAACATGTACAAAGACTAAACTTCTTAAATTTAGTTTCACAAGTTCATGGTGGTTAGTTCAGATGAGGAACCCTCCCTAACTGTGAGGGAGCCTGTGTTCTCTTTCAGGCGTCACTCTGTATTTCTCCATGGGAAATACCATCTGGTGTGACCTGAGTGGAAGATCCACTACCAATATGTCTGTATCAGACGAACCTATCACTTCAAGGACACACAGTCTTCAGCACCTCCCTTAATAACCCTTGGCCCAACACCAGGCATTATTGCTTTCTTTCCTGTGAAGATTACTAGAGCTCCTCAGTGGTCCTGAACCATTGTTATTTTTTCTTTTTGTTTCAGGATTAATTATTACTTTGTAATTACATTTTTGTTTTGTGATGATATTTCTCCGGTAAGCTGGTGTCAAATTGTTTAAAACTTGAACTTTATCAAGCTAGCACATTAAGTGAGCTTGTGTTCGTGTAGCTATTTGCTTGCTAACCTGAGCATTAGTATTTATGGCTTCTACTGGTGCCAATCATGGTGGTAGCTGGTGCATTACCTTGGCCTCCAGTAACACTGTAAGGAATCTTGTTTCTGACCAGGATATGTCCTTCAATGTGCGTATTAAACAGATATGTAGGGCTGATTTCTTCCATTTATGCAATATCTCTTAAATTAGAAATGTCCTGTCGTGATGCTGAAAAACTAGTTCATGCATTTGTTAATTCTAGGCTGGACTACTGTAATTCGTTATTATTAGGATGTTCTAAAAACTACCTGAAAAGCTTTCAGTTGATCCCAACTCATGCAGCAAGAGTACTGACAGGAACTAGAAAGAGAAAGCATGTTTCACCCATACTGGCTTCTCTTTATTGTGTATCTGCCTTCCAGAGAAAAAAAATGCTGGTTCATAGGTCGACTCAGGAATTGTGGTGATTTCCAGACTCTCAGCAGGTACCAGTCAAAGAAAATCCCCGATCACTCCCCGAAGAATTAGCTTCTTCGGGGAGGGGGAAGATTGAGTGAGATGCTGTGTCCTTGAAGTGATTGGTCTGTCTTTGAAAGATGTGGTGGTAGTTTAGTGTCCATGACTGGTCACACCAGAAGGTGCTTACTATAGTGAGATACCTATCTTGATTGTCAGAGAACTGGGGTTACCCAGGTAAACAAGTGCTATTAGGCCTCATTCACCACCACTGTTATCTTACCATTGAATCAGAATTATTCTACATCCATAGATGCATTCTTGTTATCTGCATGCTGTCACCCAACTATCTCACTACACAGAAACATCTTAAGCTTCTTTATGGAAAATGCAGTGACAAATTTGTAAAAGAAATCTTGAAAAAAAAAAAAGAGAAAGAAAATGAAACATGTCTGTGAAGGTTCTCAGTCATCCAGGTCATCGTAGTCTAAGGAGTGTGGAAAGAAAAGCGTCTGGACTTCTTTAAGTTTCTTTGAAGACGTTGCGCCTCTCATCCACTCTTTAGTTCTGAGAGCATTGGACTCTGCACCAATGCTCTCAGATGCCTCAGACACTTTTCTTTCCAAGCTCCTTACACCAAAATGAAACAACAGTGTCCAAATTCAAAGACAGAAAAACTACAGTTTTCTAAAGTGCTTCCTTTGTCAATGATGGCAGTTTAAAGAAAAATAAAGTGGTGAATCTTGCATCTACAGAGATTTATGGAAATATTAACAAATGATTTTGGTAATTAGCAATGCTGGTAATTTATAGTAGCTGTGGGATAAAACTCACACTGGGTTGTAGTCTAAAACATTTCTTAAGCACTGTAGTTTAAACTTCTGTGCTTATGTGTACACATGATCTAAAGTATTTGTGAATTTCTTTACAGAGTACAAACAGTTTTAAAGCACAAATTTGAATTCTAAATTAATCATTATTAAGAACAGATTTGCAAGAAACCCATTGAGGTCATTGGTATGGAGAGCACCATCACAATGTCAGTAAACTATTAAGACAAAGAAGAGCAAGTATTAGCCGTGAGTAGTAACCAAAGAAGGTTTTGCTAAACTTTGTTCAGTGTAGTGTAGAAATTGTCATAGCTCCTCTGGTCCAGCTAAAGGCACAGCAGGCAGGGAGTTGATGGTGTTAAACCGCCCAGCGCACACCCACACATCGTCACACATCTCTCCTTGCGTCTTTTTCTCTTCATCTTCCTCCCCTCCCTCCTCTTTTGGCAGAATCTGGTCACCAGCTCAGTTGCGTTGCCACGGCAACAACAGTCTCCTCCAGCACCTGCTTTCCCCCTCTTCCTTTCATCCCTCTGTCATTCAGCCCGCCCTAGTCAACCTCGCCCTCTCCTCTTCGTCCTCCTCTCCCTCTCTCTGTTGCTGTGATGGCCCTCTGTCAGCCCCTGTTTACCAGTGGGGAAACCCCTTCCTTTGGAGGTAAGACCCACCCTGCGTGTCATCTCATAACTGTTTGGTCTTTTGGGGTGTGTGTTGTGTTCTCCTTCTTTTTTTGTCCCCATTACTCAGTTTGCCGACCTTTTGTTGGTGTTATAGCTGACAGACCGCTGAGAGCATCCAGCAAACGGCACTAATGAGCTGTGTTCATCTGGTGACACAAGAAAGCACTTACAACACTCTTTTGCTGTTTTTAAAGAGCAACTCACTTTGTTTAGCAGCTTCCATTTGCAGGGTTGTTTGTTTGATCATTTATAGCTTCTTAATTTTAGTTTAAATCCATCTTTTATGTTGGAAAACAAAAACACTCACACAAACACAACAACACACAATCTTCTGCATTGAATTTGACTTTATGAAATAACCAGACTTGCAAATGCAGTTGACCGCTGGAATTCAAATAAATGAAATCACCTCATCAGTATTATAGTTATTGTTAGATATAGAATATTATTATACAAAAATGATAAATGGATTAGTTTTTATAGCACGTTTTCACGCTACCTGACCACTCAAAGCACTTTGAACATTCATCCTTATACACCCTTTCATGCAACTACTTTTTTCTACATAAGTGTTTTCTTATCGAACATTCTCAGATGAACGAGCAGGATAGAGAGCAGCCCAAACATATTTGGCATGCAGACTGCAGCAGCCAGGGATCGAACCACCAACCTTCCGACTAGTAGATGACTTGCTCTACCTCCTGAAGTGCACATAATCCGAGTAAATGGAAAAAGATAATTTCATTTTTTTTTTTTAAGGAAAACAGTTTAGCAGTCCAAAGTGTTTTCTTTCTCCAAAGTTCTCCGATCACACACTGAGATAAAGCAAACTTACCTTGCACTTGCTGAAAAGTATTGGGCCATTTTTCTCTCTACATGCTCTGACGACAGGGTGACTATTCTCAGTCTATACTCCTAAGGTTGTTTTCCCATATCATATCTAGATTTCTTTTGCAATCAGAGGAGTTGTCTTCTGCTGGCCATTAGGAAGAATACTTGATTAGTCTTTGTTCAGACTTCTGCTCAACTAGATCGAACCGTCAACGTAACACAGAGACGAGTTTGGGAGAAACACTCATGGTCTTGCCGGGCAATGCTAAAGGGATGAAGACCATTGAATAAACAACACGGCAGAATTGAAAAATAGATATTATATCACCCATACTCATTGGTAGGGCAGGTCATCTACTGTACCACCCAGAACGTCGGTGATTGATCTCCAGCTTTGCCTGTCCATGTATTGAAGTAACCTTGGGCAAGATACTGAACCGCAAGTTGCTCCTGATGTGTTGGAGTGTGTACCTACACAAGTGTTTAGGTATAAATCAAAGTTTTGCATGAATGTGTGTTTGATTTAATCATTTATAGCTTCATGATTTTAGTATAACTGGGTAAATGAGACTTGTCGCAGAAAATGCTTTGATTGCTTAAATTAAGTAGAAAGTGTGTTTCTTTTCTGCATCAGTTCTGTATTGATGAACTGAGCATCTGTGACCTGATGACAAGTGTGTCTCAGCTGAAACTGAAGTCAGCTAAGCTCCACTTAGAAACACAGGGGTTAGAAGACAGAAGGGAGGAGGCAGCACTGTGCAGCGAGAAAGGATCAGAATAGGGAGAATAAGAAGAGGGAAGGCGGGAGGAGAGACACTAACAGCTCTCACACGCATTTGATGTTGCCGGTGTGGCAGGTGGCAGCCAGCGTCTGTTCGTTAACCGCGTCCTCTGCCGAGTGTCGCCGTGTCAGAGCAATGATTGCACTGCACTAGTGTTAGCATGTCTGAGTCCTTCTGGACGGTGCTCTCCAATTTCTCGCTGCCTGAGAGAAGCATGCTGCGGCGCTCCAAAAGGTACAAACACATCCTTTCTCTTTCATTTCTGGTAGCCTCCATATCTTACCTTCATTGAGTTTTTTTTCTCTCTTACATACATGCCTTTTTTATTTTCATGCCACTGCCTGTGTTTTGCTCCGTTTTCCTCTCTTTTATCGTTCCTCTTCCCTGCATGTCTTAATGCTCAGCAGGAGCAGCTCCAAAATGAAGGTCAGCTAACTGGATGTGTGTTTTGATGTATGAACAGGGTGCTTTTTGAGTATAAGTTATTGTCATTTGGTGCTGGCATCTGCAGTGTGCACGTTTGTTGTCAAATTCTTTTTTTTTTAATCCTATTTTCTCGATATGACCATATTTACAGTGACATACCTAAGTGTGATTTGACAACGAGCATCGTGTTCCTTCATCTGTCATTCTCTCAGTTGACCCCTCTTCTTCTTCTCTGCTCTCTCCTCTCTGTCAGTCAAAGCAGAAGTAGCTTCTCCAACAGGAACAAGAGGGAGAGACAGGGCTGTACTTATCACTTTGAAGCAGCAATTTTCTTTGCTCCCTGTAATAACAGGGGTAGCAGCTGACACACACACACACACACTCACACACACACACACACACGTGTCACCATGTCCTGTGGTGTGTTGCTCTTTTGTTACCTCCAGAGCAGTGTTTTTAAGGGAAGAATGCTTGTGAAGTGAGACTCCTGCATAGCAACAGGCTCTGTCAGTTTTTGGAGTGGATACAGTCGACAGATGACGTTAAGCTGTAATCAGGCATAACAGTCATCATTTGCACTGATCTGAAGGTTTTAAAATAAACGGTGTTCTTTTTTTGTAGCAGCGTTTATCACATTCGGATCAGAAGCATAATACATTTTACTTTTCCATCATTTACAGAAATGTCTACATACAGATTATTTTAAGCTCCCTAAGTTAGCCGTATAGTTTTAACATTTCAAATGCAAAATGGTTCTATTTTTGCATTATTGTTTCATTAGCCTGCGCTTAAAACAAAAGTGTGCTTCTTTTGTCAGTTTTAGACTTCAAAAGATTGTAGCTCCACTGTTCTTTGATATCATTTCCTCTTTTATACTTGCTATTTGACATTAAATTGGCACAATAGGAACTGCAGTCAGCTAAAACTGCCTGATAATGTGTAGGTCCATCTTGTGCCAGCAAAACATGGTACAGACACCAGATCCCTGGGTTGTCCTCTGCAGCTGATCCTTCAGGTCTTCTGTAATTCATGATCGGTGGATTGACCAGTGAAGCTGTGCTGGCTGTGCAAAACGAACCTATAGGAACTAGGGATGGTAATTTAAGGTGAAAATACTATTTCATATTCTCTGAGAAATGCTGTTAGTGTACACTGTGTATATAGTTGTTTTTTGGTTTACTATGACATGGAAAACTACAGACAACCATCTGCTAGCAAGCAAATTAATCATCTGGAGATTTTTGGTCCAGCAGTTTCTTTGCAACCAATGTCACCCAGCGACTACCAGCAACCTTCAGGAACCACCAACCACATTTTTCCCTAGCAACCGGTGCTTTGTATCCTGTTCAATATGGCAGCTCTTGGGCAAGGTTTTTATTATTATTATATTTCTGGGGTATTTTTGCCTTTAGTGGATAGTGGTACAGTGGAGAGAGTAAGCGAGGGGGAAGACACACACCAAAGGGCCACAGGTTGAACTCAAACCTAGGTCGCCTGCTCACCCAGTGAGCTAAACTGCCACCTGCTCTTGGGCAATGTGCACATGACGTCAAAACCAAAATAGTACAATAGTTAAGACCTGCCACTAAGTTAATAAATGACTGAATGAACCATTTGACTTGTGTTGTAATTTACTGACTGTTTGAATAGGAACCCCAGAAACACTGGCTGCTTTGTGTTTCATAGTTTCTTTATCTTTACAGTGTTGGTGATGGTGGCAGTGATCTAGATGAGTACCTTTAATTTTTCTGATGCCACTCTAATAAAGGTGCTTTATAAAAATGTTTCCTCTAAAAACCCTTTTCATTTAAAAGAAAACAAAAGTTTGATGCAACGTTTTTTGTTAGAAACTGTTCACAGTGACACAAGAACAATGCGGAGTTGAATCCTTTCTCATTTGTTAGGTCATTAACCCAAAAGCTCTTGCCGCAGGAGCATACACACATGCCGCCACACAGTCTGTTATCACTTTGATTTCCTGTGGTGGCTGCAACCCTCAGACAAAGTTATTGTGTGGGCTGTGGGAAATGAGTTTCGCTATAGATCTTATCCACATAAACTTACCTTCTGTCTGTTTAGTGTGTGTGTGTGTGTGGGTACATCTGCCAGTGCAGCTGTTTGTTAGTCTGTCAGCCATGTCAAAACCTGTATGTCTACTTCTATAACTGTGCCTTTTGTGTGTTATAGTGAAAAAGTTTATTAGATCTCAAGGTTTTTGTCTTTTTAGAGACATAAAGTAAGCAGATGTGTGTTCAAACATTTACAGATTTGGGAAAACAAAGTGGTGGGCATGTCATAAAGCCCCTAAACTCATATTTAAGAAACAAACAAATAAACCTTTTTTTCTGTTGCTGTAAATGATATCTTTGAATCACTTTCCACCATACTATTAAATGGGCAGGTGGATCAACTTGGCTAAAAACTACTAAGAGAAAAAAAAGGTCATTCTAACTGTGGTAATGTTGACTGAAGATTCAGACATAAATCCTTCTTCAGCCAGAGAAGCAATTCAGTCTTGGTTCTGTTACCTGACAGCCTGCTGCTTTGATGATTCCAGGTACCCAAAAGCTTACTTATCTACACACACATACAAACACACACAGAACCACACACACATGGATAAACACACTCACAGACAGTGTGTCTAGCCTTCAGTCAGTTCTGCATAATGGATGCATGTTTCCCAGCAGGGATCCAAAATGCCTGCAGGAGAAAGAAGGAAGGTAGGTTGGTAGTCTCGGTACTGAAGTTACATTTGTCTATGTGAGTCAGAAATAAACATACAGGAAGCTAATGTTGACAATGGTTCAACCAACAGCAACTTACTGGAGTTGCTCTTGATTTTTAACTGTACCAGCTTTGTATCCTTTGCACCTTTGTACCATCATACTTCCTTGGTACCTTGGCTGGTGACCCAAAACTAATGAAGGGAGAAGGAAATACAAAGTCTAATTTTTATTTTAAGTTATTTGGCTGCAAATCTCCACTGTCTTATGGTCAGCATAAACTAAATGCATTAAGTTATATGTATATTTCAAACTGTGTTTGACGGCCAATCCATTTATATATGTGAAACATGACTTCCAATCCTTATGTTACTTGAAGTTAATTGAACATGAAGTGCATTGTGTTTTGTTCTGCCTGTGGAAGAGTTTCACTTTCACTCTTCATGTGTGCAGAATTTGTTCATAGGTGCCATAATTCCTGTTGTATGCAGGACAGAAGTGTGGGCTGTCTTTGTTCTTTGGATCTTGTAAGGCTAGAAAAAGTCCAAACAGTAAGATAAAACCACAAATAAAATCCTCCTCCTTGTTGTAGCCTCGGTATTCTATCTCTATGTTGTCCAATGGCAGCTGGGACAACTGCCCCACAACTGTATAAGCAGAAGAAAATGATTGGCAGAAGAGTCATAATGATCATAATAACACTTTTATCGCTCATACTATATTCATCTCACTTCAGCAATATAGTAGAAGAGCTTTGATAGATTTCTAAAAGCATCATGTTATAGATTCATTTTATATTCTGGTCAGTAACAGATGAAAGAAGCTGACATTGTTTTTTCATTAATGGAAACTCCTCTGCCTCAGTAAATGAACCTCCACTGGAAGGCACCTGCTCGCTTCCTCTTTTCCCCAAGCGTTTCTGATGCGTGACTCGGATGGTATTCCATATTGTTGAGACAGTCACTATGATTTGTTCATTAACTTTGTTCACAGCAGCAGACTGAGTGACGGTTGCTGTAAAGAAACCTTTACATGCAGTTACAACAGTTCTTTTGTTTTAGCGGGACTCTCAGAGCCACAAGCCATAATTGTCACCCTTCTGTCATCTCCTGGCAAAGGTGGTTCATTTGTTCCTTTGCTTCTCTTAATCTTCTTCTCTTCGCTTCTCATCCCTTGTTGTTACTCTGAATCTTCTGCTTTCTGGCAGACATTTGTCAAACCAACATCACCTTTTCCACATTTACCTCAAGATTTCCATTTTAAAACTTTACAAATTACCTTAGCAACCATTCCTGATTTATTTTAAGGCTTGGATGGCATTTACAGATCCAGAAAAATTCTAATATGTCTTTTGTCTCCAAAAGTTGATTCTGGACGTAGCGTTTTCAGTGTTTCTACATCCAGATGAACAGAATCAACTTTTGGAGATTTACTTACCTGGATGATTGAGCATGCATCAAGAAATTTGACTTTTGGTTATAAGTTGAATTTTAAATTGAAAATGAATCCAATGATCAGATTTCTTTGACTTTCTTGACCACACCCCTTTTCTCCAGAGGAGGAAGCCTATACATTTTGGAGCCTCAATCATCTGTTCTCATTTGCAGCATCAAGACTTCAGCTTAACATTTTTTGATGACAAACCCCATGACCTTTCTTCTTAAGGCCATGCAACTGTTTAATTAGCTGGCCTGTTGTTCATTCAATCCTTTACTTTAATACTTGAAGTTGTAGTCATTGTTGCAGACTCTTAATTTGGTCATCAGTTCATCTCTCTCTCTTTCCAGCTGACCCTTTCTGTACATCTCTTCTACTATTTCCTAATGATCACCTGCCTTAGGCCACTTTTTTGTGTAGGTGTTTGTGTTTTCGACGTTTAAATTTCAGGCTTTAGGGGAAAACTTTCAAAAGATAAATGGTGTATATGTGTGTCTTTGTAAAATGAAGATATTCCATGAACACACATCACTGAATCTTTAATTTGGCAGTTCATCTGTCATTTAGGTTTGTGTGTCGACTACATGCTGCCACAAACTGCTGAAGTGGCACATTTCAGCAGATGGTAGAAGATACATGCATTTGCATACAGAATATCGTATCTACATTACACATAGTATTTTTTGCCATTATCAAATATATTTTTTAAAATCCCAGATGCGCTTTTTGTTCCCTTTACATAACCTTTACCATTACCTAAATATCAATTCTAATATATTAACTCTGAAGCTAGACTAAAGGACTAGGGTAAGATTTACTAAAGTTCCTAAACTTTAGGCGTAGAAATCATAAAACAAGGATTAAGAACATATTTGACAAGAATATTTTAAAACATACTTAAGAGAGATTTCAAACAATTTTTTTCTTTGTGGAAAAATGTGTGTTGTGTGATCATTCAGGCGTGTTTAGCCTGTCAAAAACACTGCACTACACAACTGCATAATTACAGCCAGCAGATGTGATGGGCCAATTAACACAGCACACACATGCTGTTGCTGTGCCGACACCTGCTGGCATCGAGACAATTTGCCAGGAGAGTCCCAATTTGTCTGTCCATTTGTTCTCTAAAGACATTTTCCTACAATTTAGAATAATATACACACAGCAGGACTGAAAGGAAGTACTTAGCATTTGTCTTCTGTACAGACATAAGACAAGATTGCTTGATTTGTACTCAATCAAAGATGAACAAATGCCAACCATTCTGTTTTAACTATAAAGGGTAAATTTATAGTTAAAACTTTTTTTTAAAAAAAAAATCTGCTTTTAACTTTGATGCTGTTAATGAGTCAATAATCAATAATAATGTTTCAATATACGAGCTCTGTCATGATCAAGAACCTTAAAGTTTACGAAATAACTTTGATAGTTTTTAACATTTTACTAACGAACCTCTGTTTTTATCCACTGCTAAAGTTTCAGAACAAAAAGAAAAGTAAAAGACAGTTTCGTCATAATCTGACACACGCATAGTTTTGAAATAGGTTCCATTCAGAGAGATGCAGTTCAACAGGCTGCTGTATAGATTGACATAAACCTGCGTCAGCTGCATAGGGAGAGAATAGTAGTAAATGACATAAATCATAATTTTGTTGGTCTTGTGTGTGGGTAATTAGTTATCCTGCAGTATGGAGATCCTTTACAGCCTTCATGATGCTTTCCATGTTCACAATTCGGCTAGGCTCCACTCGGGTCCCAATCATCAGAAAGCGAGCTCAAGGATACCTTTTTGTTTTTGTTGTTAGTCTGCTTTTTGGACTTGGCCATTGAGAAACTACATTACGACGGGCCAACTGCACATGCATCCCAGTCCTTGTAGAAGAAGTAGAACCAGTATAACTACACTGTCAGTGTCTGCAACTGATTCTTGTCGAGTTTTGCTTTAGATTTCATTATGTGTCTTGTAATTTTAAGTATTTGCGATATTACAGCGTTGTATCATTTTTTAATTTTCATTTTTCATTTTAGTTTTGGTTCATGTCTTCATGTTTAGTTGTTTTAGTTTCCTCAGTGTTGCCTCGTCTGTTCCTCTTTCTGTTGGTGCCTGTCCTTCTGCGTCTGTTATCAGGTTTAGTGTGAGCAGAGTTCAACATACCCCAGCTGTCTTTCTGTTATCTGGATTCACTGAACATTGGAAATCAAGATAAGCAGTCACACAAAGCTGCTTATCAACTCGCTAAGTTAACTCTGGGTTTCTCTGCACGTTCACATGAAAGGTGTGGGACATCTGACTACAACTACGTCACCAAATTGAGACACGAGAGAATCTGATGGATTAAAATCAAGCATTTCATTAAGTTTATATTTAAAATAGAAAATCATTTTGTTTTTTGCTCTTTCAGCTGCAGCCCTGGTAGTACTTGGTGGTCAGAGTAGATCATCAGAATTCAAAGTTATACTTAGTCTACATGCAAATTTAAAATGAAGATCTGTAAGCGCAGTATAGGTGTACTGTTTGAGGACCATATCTTCTGAGAACCGAGGAAAAAAAATCTTCCCATTGAACATTTCTTCAATTTCCGTCCACTTTGGCACTAAAACAGAATACCCAGACTCATGAGATATCAATGGAAACCAGAATGTCCTCTATTAAGCACATCAGGACTTAGTAGGGTAGCTCAAATAAGTCAAAAGATATTGACCAAAAACAAATGTCCATTACACAGGACAGAAATGAATAGGCTGGTTCTCAGAAGGGTATATCAAGGCTCAAAAAAAAAAAAACATTTTGTAGATTTTCAGGCAACACAAATAAAAATCAAGGAATAAAATTGTGTCATAGAATCTCTACTTTTTACTGATGTTCATCAGGCAAATGCAAAGACATTACAGTGTTGAATTACACTCTGAATTACACTCCTACAAATCTTCCAGTAACAGTGACTGCTGTTTTCCATAAAGTTAATTGGTCAGTAGGTGTTGATTTTGCACCAATTGCTCCCTAACCTGGAAAATAACCTGAGCAGGTTAGGTTTGCAGCAAAAACTACCAAAACAATATACTCCAGCAAGAAGTGAGCCACCTTCATTGTAGACAAAATGGGATTGACCATGACGTTACCTGGATAAAAAACATCTTGCTTTGTAGTCCAGGTCTCTCGTCTCCATTTTGGTTTGACTGTGAATTTTCTCTTGTTTTTTTTTTTTTCCTGGTTTTTACTTAACGTTTGTCTAGTTGTTCTCACATGTGGAGATTTTCACATGTTTCCCATATATTTCCTCTTCCCAGTTAATTCCCTCAGTCGGTCTTGTCCTCCCCCTTGTTCACTCACCTGTTTTCATAACATTGGGTGCCTATCACAGCTTCCTGTGCTTTGTTAGCTTTTATACTGTTTAGCAGTCATTGTGCAGCATCTTGTGTCAACACACAGCATGCAGCTTTTGGTTCTCTGTCACTCTTACAGCATGACAGAATAGGTGTAATGCTCCTTTTTAAAATATAGTCACTATGTCTGCATTTTCATTAAAAACAACATTGGCATCTGCCTTCTCGTGCATTGTTCTCAGCTAGTGTTGTCTGAATGTGAGAGGTGGCTGCTGAGCAAATGTGTCACTTTAGAAAGTTATCATATCAGCGTACCTGGATGCCACATCACAGCATCCTCTTCCATCTGTAATTTCCCCTGAGCGAAGCTAGCCCTTCCTCAAGTCATTACAGGCACACTTGGCTCAGAGCTTCAGAGTAAACAACAAAGTCGAATAATCTTGTGAGCTTGTGTTGGAGGTGTTAGCTGTGAAGACTGCCCCCTCATTTCCTCCTCTTCTCCTTCTGTCTAGGGACAGATGTCACAGCTTTAAAGCAGATTGCTCTTTCCTCGACGAGTGTCTTTGGTACAGCAGTATGTACACATCCGTATGAGCATCTTAGCCCAAAGGGGAGCTGAGGTCTCCTACAGAGTACCATCTAACGATGCCTATTTGTTTTTCCCAGCCCAAACCTTTCAGTCTCTTATTATGTTAAAACTACATCTTCTGCACAAGATGTAATTCAGCTGAGCGCACCTCACTCTATAAGAGTCTATAAGAGTGAGGTGCGCCTTTACTCTTATAGATCTCTCTATATTCCTCCTTCTTCTTAGAGTACATATTCACAATAGGGCTTTGTGATATGAGGAAAATCCGATATCGCAATATTTTGTGGCTATATCACGATACACGATATATGTTGTGATATGTTTAAATAACCTCCAAAAACAAATGTTATATTTAACCATATAGTGCCTAAAATTGCAGTGGTATACTCATTCAAATCAACCATTCAATATATATTACAATATATATGTATCACAGCTGGTTTATTCAATGCAATATTTTTCCCTATCAGGTAATATATAAACATACATGCTCAGCGCAGGTAGAAACTTTTGTGCTTGAGACGGAGGGGATTAATGATGCATTTGCCAGCGTGTGGGGGGGAAAAACCTCACAGTGAATTACATGCAGACAGCTTAATATTGCCATGATAATTTATACTCGATAGTTACGATAAAGCCATTTGTACCATCGTAAGTGGAAAAACTTGCGATACATCGAGTATAGTCAATATATCGCCCACCCCTAGTTCATGACTTCCATTTCAGTCCTTTTCCCAAATTCCATTACCATCTGGCATTCTGCATTCCTCTCCTTAACAACTATCGAACACCTCCTCACCAACCCTGTTCTCTTCATCTACATGTCCAATGAAGTCTGCTCCATTCACCACCATCTTCCCACTGGAAGTTCTCTTTCTCTTCTAACTGACCAACCTGTGGTGTGTATGCACTGAAATTCAACATCACCCATCTGAATTCTACTTTCAGACTCACGTTCCTTCGAGATTGTGTAGTTTTTTGTATTTTGTTTGTATTGTCAATACCACCGTGGTATTGCATATAGGTGGTTTGGATTAAATTGGACACAATTGTTTTGCCATTTTCATCAGTTGTGGTTACTTCTGGTTGTGTGTGTGATCACAGCTGTGATAGTCTGATGTATTTGTGTGTCCTCACTGTCCTGCAGTGTGAAGGCTAGAGTCTTTGCTGAACTTCTTGCCTCACTGAAACTGTAACCTGGCAGTGCACGCATGAAAGCTCCACATACGTAGGCCATCTGACGATAAAGTGGACACCTGCTGTTATTGGCGCAGATGTACAGAGGGTCTTTTGCCATTTTTAAACAAGAACAAATGACTAACTTAACATTCATAACAGTGTGTGAGGTTATGATTTGCTTTAATAATGTCTGTGACTGGTGATTGTGGCTATGAAATCCCAAGGAACATTTATAGAAGCAAATTCCATGCCAGGAATCTGTGTCCTTCATTGAAGGTTCTATGAAATCCTTGTACTTATGTAAAGAGTTAATTACCCTGACTTTATTTGTTTCAAATTTGAACTTAGATTAAGCTGAAGTCACTAAATTGCCTTTGTTTTTGTTCTCAGTTGTCGGGCAAGCAACAGGAAGAGCCTGATTGTCACGTCCAGCACTTCACCCACCTTGCCACGACCACACTCACCTCTGCATGGACACACAGGTAACACACACTCCTCTATATAAACTGCCTTTGATGTTTCAAACTATAGACCTGATATACTCAATACTGTAACATCATCAGTATCCATAGTACCAGTTTCAGTCCAAATCCACTCTCACTGGTAGCATAACAAGAGTTGCTGAATAAATTATGATGAAAAGGTGATAATTTAGGTGTTATTTTATTGGAAACGTTGACTCTGCTCAAATGCTGCTGTTCTGCTAAAAACTGTGTAGTAACAGCAGACAAATTGCATTACATGGAGTCGTGTTGTTTACAATCACACACCAACGAAGCTCAATTAACAGCTCCGGTAGCACACTGAGATCTCACAGTGAGATTTTTGATTGTGTGAATGAATGCACAGGCTGACATACGGTCAGCTGCCGCAGACAGACTTTTATTTTTAACACTTATTAATAACCATTGTTTTTTTATAACGATGCTTAGGTAATAGTTTGTTGCTGTTGAATATTTAGTACTTATAATGTTCCTCCATTGGTTACTAATTAAAATTACTTGTTGTTTATTTTGTTTATTGTAAAATTGCTTCATGGTTTTAACAAAAGCATTTAAATGCCTGGGTAAGTAAAGAAAGTTTTATTTAAAAATGTAATCTTTGTAAATAATAAACAAATAATATTAGCAAAATGTTCTCCGATTTTAAAGTAATTTTCTCTTATCTGTATAATATGAAACATATTTAGAAAATAAGTATTTTTTGTTAAACAAACCTACTCCTTAAATAAATGTTGCCATTATTATTGATTAGTAAATATTATTATTTGTAATTTAACACCATGTTACTATAATTAAGATGAAATATTTACTTCATCTTAATTATTGTATAGATTGTTACCAATGAATTACTTAGATTTTCACACTTTTAAAACTGACATCATCAAGATATCGTTACAGTAATGCTAGACAGAAGACAGACTGATGGTTGTCTTTGCTGATTGGCTTGAATTCGTATGCATTCCTGCAATATTTGTATAGCTTTAAAAATCATTGAAACATACATATATGCTGAGCATGCAGGTGATTATTTTGTTTGCAATACAATGTTCTTCTGGGAAACCTCGGGTCGAAGGCATTCATGCGAATGTCACTTACTGTTACTCCCACAAACACACTGCTGAAGACGAGGCACAACTCTCATAGGAAGAGCAGTTGCTGATAACAGAAGGATAGTACGTCGCACCACACCTTCGCTGTTCTTTGCTATTTTCAGGTTACAAAGAAAAGAGTCTGAAGTGGCACAGTCTCCAGACACCTTACTTCATAATCTGACTGAGCCTCTGTGAGATCCACTCGCTCTGAAATCCACATAACACAGAGAATAACGTGTCAGCATCCAGTTCTCCAAACCCATCCAACAACTCCCTAAAGATCTTGAATCCATGTCCCAACTGTTTTTGGACAACAGGGGAGTCCCCAATATGGGTGAATTATTATTTTTTTGGATAGTGTATAAATTTTCTGGACTGTATAATCTGAGGGCACTCTGGCACAATTAGCAGTAGTTTCTTGACAGAATTTTGATTGCTTAATCTCATCAGATAAAAAGAAGTCAAGCACCTTGACAATAATTTTGCATAACCACTGATTTGCTGGGTGACTTAGATTTGCCAAATTTGATGAAGTGGAAGCAGCTTCCCAATGATTGTATGTGCTTTAGCCTTTTGTAATGTGCTAGAGCACATAAAATCATTGGGAAGCTGCTTACACTTCGTCAAATTTGGCAAAGTGGTATTGCATTTTCTTGTCTCCCTGTGTAAGATCAGTGTCTATAACTTTAAGCTGATCTTGCAGCAGGAAATACATCAAGATGAGATGTTGCCTTGATCTTTGACAAACTGACATATTTATAGAAAAAAATGTTTATTTCACCCTTATAAAATACTCTTGAAATACTCCTGAGAAGAAGCAGGCAAGAGTCACTTCAAAAGGATTCCACCCACCATGCCATCATACGTACATTCGCTATGAAAAAGTGTGTGTGCTGATATTAGAAGCTGTGTGCACACACACCAAATGATTAGATGAAATGTGTGCTAACAAAATGTCTTCTGAACACATCTGACAGGAAGACAAGCGCACAAACCCACCAACTCACACACCCACCCATCCTCTCCTCCACCCTTCGAATGTATAGATGGAAAAGAGATGGAAAAAAAGAAAAACTATGATTGATTGTGCCTGAAGGGGACTGAGCGAAGGAATCAAAATATAGACTGAAACGGCAGAATGGAAAAGGAATATTGGTGGCAGTAACTGAATGGGAGGAGAGAGAGCGAGAGCTGAATGAATATGAAAGATGGAAAGATGGTAAAATATTGAGGAGAGAATATTAAGGAGAGGCTGTGTGACACAGAGAAACACTCATTACGATGTTGTGTTTGCCCTCACCCGATAGTGGTAGTAGTGTTTCTTTGGGTGGGTGATATTGCCTCAAAATTATATTCGCAATAACAATATTTCGGACAATATGGGAAAAAGTTTTCTTAACACTGTAAAATAAACTTAAATTCCAAAAAAGTTAAATAACAAACAGCAACAAAACCTGCAACAATTTAAATTTTAATAGCGTTTTAAAATTTAGTGCAAATAAATTTTGCGAATAAGCTAAATCCAGCTCAGTTAAAGACATTTTACTGCACAGTGCTGGTTTATACTGTTTAAACAAGTATTGTTTGGTCAGTCAGTCAAATGAAGTTTAAAAGCCACTTTGTAAATGTAAAGTTCATTTTTACTCTTGTAACATTCTTTCTCAGAAATTGATCTCAAACCATTTTCTGAAGCCACCAAAATATATATTTAAATATTGATATCCTGATACTGATTTTATAAACTACTCATGAACTATGAAACACAGGCTTAGAGCCAAGCAGTAGCCTTTGCTACTGATGGGAGCTTTGTCATCCTCCACTCCCCACAGCATAGCACAAGCACTGTTTTATTTTGGC